CACGTCCTTGTCGGTGGTGCCCAGGCAGCTGAACTTCTGCATCAGCTCGGCGTCCAGGTCCACGTCCATCCCCTCCATGGCGCCGGGGCCGCCGCTCCAGCCCGCTCCGCTAGGCCCCGGGCCTCCCCTGCTCGGCTCCGCCGCCCGTCTCCTCAGCGCTGCATGGAGGGGGAGGGGACGAGGGGGGGAGCGCGTCCCGATGCACGGCTGTCGGTGGTGCCCAGGCAGCTGAACTTCTGCATCAGCTCGGCGTCCAGGTCCACGTCCATCCCCTCCATGGCGCCGGGGCCGCCGCTCCAGCCCGCTCCGCTAGGCCCCGGGCCTCCCCTGCTCGGCTCCGCCGCCCGTCTCCTCAGCGCTGCATGGAGGGGGAGGGGACGAGGGGGGGAGCGCGTCCCGATGCACGGCGCATGCGCGGGCCCGCCCACGCGCGGGGCACGCCACCGCTAGCGTCATCACGTTGCGTGACCGCACAGACGTGGTGACGTCACCCAAAGGAAAAATACAAACAGCGCCCCACCCGGGAGCCGTCTCCGCGGAGTTCCGCAGGGGCACGTTATTTACGTATGCAAATTAGCCATGACGTATGTCAACACCTATTTTGCATATGGGGTGTGTATGCATATTAATAATTTTCCTATGGAAATCAGATTTCACGTATGCTAATTGTTCACATGATTAAAATAGCCATGCGATCAAGAGTCTATTTTACATATGTAGTGGAACAGATGAACATGGCGTAGAGAAATATTTTCACATTTGCATAGGCAAATTAAGCACGTTTATTCAAATAATGACACCGCAGCAAATAATATGGTTTCCGTAGTCTTAGAAAAATGACACTGATCAAGCACAGACACATAGAGATATAAAATCTTCCTTTACATATGCTAATTAATTTCATTAATTATAGTTATGTGTTTAATTATGTTATATGTTATTATGTTCTATGTTTAAATCAGTCACATGACTGTTCAGCTGTATAGGAGTATATGCATCACCTGTATTAACCAGCATACTAATCTAATGATGGTAAAAGGAAATCATATAATAAGAGACAAGACACATAATACGCATTGTAGAGAGGAAGGTTAATCACAAATGTGCTTAAAATAAGAGTATACCTAATTGATGTGTGTTTATTAATTTGGAAATTAATACAATTTTAATAATAATTAATAACAGTAATAGCCTCACAATCCCTCATAGACTAGATAGATAGGGAAAAATGTTAATGGGCTGAGTTTAGAAATCCTAGGTAACTAACTCTTGAGATATGAGACTGCTCAACCCATTAGACAATCAGGCCCTAAAGGATTCACTAAAATCACACAAGAAACAGAAAACGAAAATGACTAACCAAACTAACCATCTGGGGAAGTGAGGAAACAGATTAACAGAGCCAGATGAGTACACAGAAGTTACCTATTTCAAGACAGGCCCAACAAAGGAAATAACAGAACACCTAGGATTGCTAGATTTCCGGTTTTGAACCGGACAGTCCGGTATTTGAGCTTTCTGTCTGGGAAAAAAATTGAGAAAATACCAGACATATAAATGTCCGGTATTTTTTAAGTAAGTAAGTTTTATTGTTATCATGAGTATCAGTGCATAGTTGCGTACTGCCTGGCTGGTAGACACGCTCACACTGTGTGAGTAGCTGCGCACTGCGTGAGTGTGTCTACTAGCCAGGCAGTATGCAGCTACGCGAGCGTGGGAGCGGAGGAGGGGGCAGGATGGAATCCCTGGGGCCAGACTCGCTCATGCGCCCCTCCAGGACCGTGCATGGGACAGGCAGCACCCCGGGATCTGCATGCGCCTGGGTCAGCCTTGCTCCCCGCTGGCTGGTTGCCCCTGGACAGCCCTGCTCCCCCCCCCAGG